CCTTACTACTAGGAGCAAGTAGCTACTAGTGACAAGAAGCTACTAGGTAGGAGGCCATCGCTACTAGTAGTCGTAGTGATGCACTTGTTACTAAGAGCGATGGCCTCCAACCTAATAGCTTCTTGTCACTAGTAGCCTTTTGTTTTGTTTCTATGTTATAGTCTGTCTTTTCGATTGCCCACCTCGGCGATGCCTTTACTTCAGCATTGAGTCTCGGGTCTTTTTAATCGTTACTGGGCGCGGCAGCTTGGCCCCAAAACGGGTGTTTTCTTCTGCATAGCTTTCGACACGTAGACAGAACTGTTCGATGCACAGAATTCGAGGCCGTGACACCCGGATACACCCGGCTTCGGAAGTTAGTGGAGGTGAGGTAGCTTGGATAGGTAGGGAAGGTATCTATATACTAGTAGCTAGGTAGCAAGTAGCTTAAGTAGCTACTACTTAGGACGCAGGATAGCTCACGGTTCTTCAAGAAGCACGTATCTTAACCTGCCCAGGTTGAGACCCTCTTCTTGAATCCTTTCGAGAAGTGGGTCCTTTATGGAAGACCCTTGGAGCGTGAGATCTTTTTGGGATGTAGGGGGCGGCAACGTGTTATGCAGCATGACATTCCAACCATGATGGGTTATTTGTTATACTGTTGCAGACCCTCCATTGTGGCATAGAGAGCGACATCACTGTACCTCAAGGGCTAGCTCAAGAAAGTCTAAGGAAAAGGATTTCACCAGTGATTTCACCTTTTGTACAGTGCATCTGTCCATTTTCTCACATGTTCCCACTGCGCCTGTCCATTTTGGCCATGAACGGGTCTGCGTCAGTGGAAAGCCCAGCGTCAGTGGAGACCGGCAACGCTAAGGATTTCCCTGCAAATTTGTGGTGCATTTGATCCTGAGCATTGTCGTCACTGGCCAGGTGCCGTTCAAAACACAAGCCACCTGTCACTAGGCGTGTGGTTGAGCGAAGACCGTCTAGTGACAGCTAGTGGCGGCTATTGACTAGTGGACTGTTGTGTTGACCGGAATGGCCGCCATGGCCACTAAATCGCAAACCTGTGAGCCAGACGGCCCTGGCTCAGAGACTAGAATGTCCTCGCTGCACTTTGACAGGCTATTCCAAGTAATACTGCCAAGAGTCTCAGAGTAGGCAAAGGAAATGCGGGAAATTCAGATCGGCTCAATGCCGATGTCCTGATCAGGCCGTGATCTATTTTCAGCGGGACATTGAGCATGTCTCCAGGACCGTACAGTCGATGGCCTACGGTCGATGGTAGCAAACTGCGCTTCAGACCTCCAGTATCCAAAAGCAACCCTTCCAGTTGTTCTATGCCTGATGTTTAGAGAGGGAGAGAGAGAGAGAGAGAAGTGGGGGCTGATTGCAAACATGCATGCAACGATTTGTCTCCAGCAAGAATTGAGCAGGACACTATAGCACCATTCAAAACGGGCACGTTTGTCTTGAGTTTAGTCGCGGCACGTTCAGCCAAACTGTTCTCTTCGGTGGGGAGCTCGTAGTGTGAGCCTTGGGGATGTGTTGCACTACTCTTATTCAAAAACAACTCTTTGCTGCCCAATGCACCTATGCACAAGGACCAACCAGCACTTTGTGTGCCGAGGTTGCGCTTACATGGCAGACTTGCTTTTCTGATGAAAAAAACCTCGGAAAGGTTTGTGCTCGCTACTAGGAGCAAGAACGCTACTCTTGCTTTGCCAACGTGGTGAAATCAATGAGCTAAGAGCTGAGGCATATGTTCACGTCGACGGACCCTTTGCATTCCCCATATGCTTTACAACTTGCCGTGGCCGACCTGAAACTTGGCACAGATCAGTGCAGATCGGTAGACTCCGGAAGCATTAATTAGAACAGTGCTCCACCCTTGTAGCAATGGCCTCCACCCTGGTAGCGATGGCCCGACCTAGGAAGACTTGGGGACTTGAGATGTGTGCAACATGAATGTTGAGATGCATTTGTTTTGTTGCTTTGTGGGCTTTCGCGCGTCCGAAAGAACACTGCTGGTTGATTTCCAGATAGGCGCAATCTGCACTTCAATCCCAAAAGCAAAAGACTCTTTCTTGCTTAGCCTTTAGAGAAATCAACCCGCAAGAAACTTCAAAATAACTTATATAACCTTGAGGCTGAAACTAATGTTTCTCATATTTGGGAGAGAATTGGAAGCTGCTTTGTTGTGAGTTTCTCATATCCAGTTGTTCATTCTTGTACTCAAAGGGCTCTTTGTGTTGAACACGGCCAGAGGCTCGAAGTAAGTTCACCAGCTGGGGCAAATGGGGCCATCGACATCAATGTTTCATGGCTAATACCACCACTACCTACCACCATCACCCATGCATGTACCACTATTTGTTGCCTATGATTCTATGATTGTATAATTTTAATTGATTTTCGGAACTCCCACCATTCACTTGCAAATCCTTCCGCTACAGCGCTCATCCTTCTTCTACACTGGTGTCCTTACGCTAGTTAAAACTTATAACCTTCATATGATTCTTTTGGCCACCTCTACCGGCTCTCAAAGGTTTTGGCACTTTCTCAAGTCGGCTTGTTTTCTTAATATGTTGCCCCTTAGTTGTTACGAACACTTTGTCAAGAAGAGGGGGATGTTAAAGAAAGCCTTAGTTTGGAAATTGAGATTCTGGATCTCGCTCTTTCTATTCTTGAAAGGGAGGAGGAGGATCCAAGCAATGAACTTGAACGATCAAATTGGGAAGCGGCAAATCAAGATTGCCAGATGTCATCAATTCATGAAGAATTCTGTAGAGGGATATTTTCAGACTTTGGGCTAGTCAGTTGGCAGCTTTTGTCCATCCCAGCCCCTGGAACATTCAATGCCAAGGGGTGTGTAAGTAGCTCACGCACCATAAAAGCCCATGTGCAGGTGTGTACATTTTTGTTGGCAGCCAGCCAGCTGTCCCATTGCCTTCC